TCCTCGAGAGCCTGACGAAGCTGATCTTCGGTATATTGAGGCATTATATATAGAAGAAGACATGTGCAAAAGATGAGCCCATTTGGACGCGAATTGAAAATGTTGTGATAAAAGGAGGTTGGGGGTGGGCATTGGGTTGTGGTGGATTTTCGCGTTTTTGTGGGTGCCAGAAACAGGGGGGTGCCAGGAAGTGGGTATGTTGACTTAAGTGTCCCATCTCCGTCTCCTGTGTACTCAAAGAAGCTTGCGAACTCAAGTCCAGCTGCCTTGATGGCATGTTTGAAGGAGCTGGCGATCTTGAAATTGCATTTCTCGCGTTCTTCTGCGGTTGCTTGCTCCTTTTGACAATTTTTGTTCTCTGAGGCATTGTCATGAAAATCCTTAAGCTTTTGTCTCACGACCACCATGCCTTTTTGGCGGAATTTCTCTACGTCAACTGTTTCCGTTAGGCCACGTCGCATTTCCCCACTCTCCAGCAATTGGAAAAGGCGCATCACTCACCTTGAACTGTTTTATAGATTCTTACACTATCAGACCAGCGATTTACCAGATGGTTCTTGGAAGGTACATTAGTGTACTTGATGGCGAGGCGAGCAATCACTTGTTCGTAGATATCTTTCGCGCCGATTGTGCTGGCAATCCAGGCGGTGTGTGCAGTATCGTCCCAAAGCTGAGGGTCCGTCCATTCCTCTTGCTTGGGCATCCACCTCTTGAGGTGCGTTCCCAGACGGTGGACGAGGCCATACTTGTCTGCGTGGCGGACCAGGCTCTGAAGCTCGCTGATTGAAATTTTGGCTGGTAGGATGTTCAGAGGGCGCCCGTGAACGATCGCGAGGAGAACGAACATTGAACCGACATGATCTTCCTCCAGCAACATGGTACCTCCGTCGACTGACCCCATCAATTTGGCCAGCGGTTCTGAAGTCTTTTTGACGGTGTCGGAGTCGACAATGATTTCCAAGTGTGACCTCCGAGTTTTGTCCATAGGCTCAAGTGGAGGAAATGGGTTGGGCACGGTGAAGTGGAAATCGCCCGGATCACTGATTCGCTGGATAGGATGGTCTTCCATTAAAACAGCTCGGAGCATCTCCCACATCTTGTCGGTAGATATTGTATGACGAATTTGTTTGGGGAATGTGGAAAGGAAATATGGATAGGTCTCGTTGACGACCGTGGAAATCGTGGATATCAAGCTACACTTTCTCATTCGTAAGCTTTGGGTCTGGCACGAAGGGAAAGGAAGAAAATAATTAGTGACTTCTATCCACTATTCCAATCGTTGGACTTACGAGTGTAGCACAGTGAAGTTGTAAATAAGACTGAGGAAAGGCAGTGCTAGACGAAGAGCTTGCAGCATTTTTGAGCCAACATCGGAGGAAATGGGCTGCTTTATAGCAATTCTGTGAAAGGAGCGATAATTAAAATGCTGAAGCCATCTGTATTTACGCATAGCAGCTTCTTGGTTTACTGAACAGACGCCCAAGCTACAGTCGCTCCTTTGAGGTTCTGGTGGCTGTCCCCTTGTGGTAAAGAGGTTCAGCATTTACTTGATTTACCACAGCGATGACAAAGACCTTGAGCAAGGTAGGAACTCCACCACAAACAGAATGATTTCAAATGTGGCTTCTGAATCTGCTTCCACAAAAAAGCAAGCAGTGAACAGACATGGTTGGGAGCAAAGACGGAGTTCAGCTTCGACAGTTCAACTTCTACCTCTGGGCCTCTTCAGGCATTATTTCCATCGCGTCAAGCCACTCCATCGTAAATGCCGTTACAATCTTCGTCCAGTCCCTCACTGTCGGCATATCGAGGTGCTCCCCATCATCCTGCGTCGTGTGCCATACGTCGGGGAAAGGCGAGGGAATCATATGCAGAATATTGACGCCCTTCATCATGAAGGGGACGTGATCGTCGCCGATGCCACTACGTCCAAACATCTTGTTCACCTTGTTGATGTCGTACAGGAACGGCATCTTGGGCTTGCTCTCGAGTAAGTTGAGGTCACGCATGCGCTTCTCAATGTCGGCCATGGCCTTGTAGGCCCAGTGGGTTGACTGAAAGTAGGAAGGGACCTTGGGCTCTGCTGAGCCGAGGAGGTCAAGCAGGACGAACATGCTGATTTGCTCCAGGGGGTTCTTGTAATGAGACATGGCGGGGTTGAATGTATTCTCCCATTCGAGAGCCAGGGACCTGCAGCAAGATGTTAGTGCGATGAGATCTTATCCTGTGTTACACCTCAACTGACCTGGCGCCATATAGCGAGTCGGTGTCCGTCCAGGACTTGAAAGCTTCCTCTCCATCGAGAAGCAGAATCTGCAGCCCCATATCCTGGGGAACTGTGCCACCATTCTCCCCAAGAGCCACCATCTCATCGTACATCTGGGTCATCATCGGATCCAGCGCCCTCGCAACGTGCAGAAGCATAGCGCACGGCGCAGCACTATCCGTCGCGCCGATAAAGCCCTTGGGTTCGATCTTGCTGTCGTAATGCGCCACCAGGGTGAGATAGTTGGCCTGGCCAGGCTTCGTCCATGGTGGTTCGCGCCTGATGATGAGATTCTGAAACGGGATATCGGTATTTCCCGTGGCGGGTGTCTTATCTGTTGAGTTTTGCCATTGAATGTTCCATTTCGGCAAGTTCTTGGTGAAGAAATCAACAAAATGCTGTTGAGTTTTGAGCTGCCCATCCGTGCCGGGCACTCGGGGGATGAGAATGGGGGCCAGCAATGGGCCGTTGTGAATGTCAAAGTCGGCCTCGGATACCGTGACGTTCTTGAGCACGGCTGCTGAGAGCGGTGTGTAGGCGCATACCGAAGCCGCGAAAAGGAGGTGAAGGAACGCGATCCAGAGTCCGCGGACGGGATGGCCTCTCACGAGAGGGAGGGCCATGGCGGGCTGTGACGAATGACAGCAGCAAGGGCACAATGGGACCCTGTTCTCATGAACTCATGCTGTGTTTGGCGGGCCGAGATCTATGGCGGCGCGTCTCTTCGTTGTCGTCGTCGTCGTTGGTAATAGGGGGAGATGGCGAATTTGGATGACTTCGCGACGGAGCTCCGAGATTTGATGAGAGGTTCAGAGCTGTGGTTGAGTTTCCGAAGAGGTGTCAACTTTTGGACGTCCTCCGACCGAGGGATGGACCGGCCGCAACGGGTTAGAGCGAAACTGTCCTGCAACATGGAGCTGCAGTCCCCCTGTGGCTCTGTTTTAAAATAGCGGGTCTCTGAGCGCATTAGGTAAGACGCGCTGGGACCCGTTTCTCCGCACGGCCCGTCCAGTGAGTGCACGCTCCACCGCGACGACCTCACTTCACTCTTCATCTCACTCCATCTCACTCCATCTCACTCATCCCTTGCCTTACTTATATGGTGCATCTCATTCATTCCTTAGCACTGTCGAGGAGCCTTGCACCAAGACATTGCGTCAAGTCTCGCCAATTTGGCCTTCAGAGCATACTCGTGCTCTTGGATGAACTCCAAGCATTAGGAGCCACTTCCAGCCCTTTCAGCAATCAACTTCTCATCCTTCTTCTTCTGCGCGACGACTTACGTTTGCCCTTTGGTCTCTACGTCGAGGAACTATTCGAAGAGAAATACTTGCTTGATTCTGGAGGGAAAGTACTATCACGGAACAAAAATTGGTGGGCCAAGCGGCACTCAAGCGATCTGACGTCGCTGATGACCAGATATACGAAGTGGTATCAAATGGGAACATTCGGAGGAGCGACCTGTTGCTCCTGAGGGCACGAGTAGAACTGGTGGCTCTGTATTGAACATCTATTATTCCATTCATATGCGCTCATCTCATCTAGACTCTATACCCACCCGGACAACCCTAACATTATGGTGTCCCCATCAATGGCCTCTTCACCAAGATTCAATGTCTTCGTATATATCCATTGCTCTTATTTCTCCATCATCTGCCAAAGATCCTCAAACTCCAACAGCAGCCGTCATGAATAACCTTTCTCTCTTCATCAGCACACTGCAGACCAAGACAAGTGCCCAGGCTGTGATCACCAAGATTTAAGGCAAGTTCAGAGCCTCAACGATAGCCTCGAGAACCTCCTGCTGCATCCGCGGCGGCAGCGTTGTGGCAAAGTCGTCCCGACACCAGCAATCGCAGCCTGAACCTGGTCCTCTGTGACAGCATCCGGCAGAATCGCAGTCGGCCGCTTCTCAGTTCTGTTCAGAACCACAGCATTACTGACCGCCAGCGCGATGTTGATACCGCTCGTCTGCACCAAGGCAATCAGAGAGGACGCAACAGCACCTATGGAAGCTGGCACGCTGGCCTGGGCAATCGAGAAGCCCGCTTGCGTGATACTTCCCAAGCCGGCACCGAGCATGGCTGAGGCCCCGTAGATCCAGGCCGTGCTGGTGTCAGTCTTGACGACGTACATCAACGTGGAAGCAACGACACAAATGATGCCGCCGACGGTGAACCATGGCATGTACAGCCCGAACTTTCCGGACAGATGGGACAGCATGCCGCCCTGCGTTAGGGTCACGGTCATCATGACCAGGCTGAACGAGAGCAGGCGGACAGCCGCGTCGATGGCGCTGTCACCTCTCGTGAACTGGAAGAAGATGGGAACAAAGTACACAGGCACGAAGATGGCGCAGCCCCCGGCGGCTGTAACGCAGAACATGAGGATAATGGTTCGGTAATACTTGCGGGAGGCGATGAGCTCGACTGGGAAGATGCGCCGCTCTTTGGTTGTGCCGATGCAGTGCGCCTGCTGGATGCCGAAGACGATGAACAGAACGCCTGCGACGACGAAGAGCGCTATCTCGGAGCCGGAGTCCCATTCATACAGGACACCTCCGAACGAGGTGCCCATGGTGAAGCAGACGATGGTGCCGAGCATCAGCGGAGCACCGATCCAGTCGATCTCGGCGAGTCGCTGTAGGATAGTCGCGCCAGGCTGAGGGTCTGGAGACGGTAGCATAAAGAAGTACACCGGTGCGGCTAGGCCGCCGATGGGAAGGTTGATATGGAAAGCCCAGCTGTCAAGTGTCAGTCATTGAGGAGACTATCGACCATGGTTGAGATGACTTACCGCCACGTCGCATCCCAGTCAGCAAAAGCGCCTCCCACAACTGGTCCAAGAAGGGACTCTAGCCCCCAAGTAATCCCGATACTAGCGAGATACGTAGGCCGCTCCTGAATCTTCGTGGTCGCTGCGATGAGCACCATGACCCCGAGATACATACCAACACCGCCCAGACCGCACAGTGCTCGCCCGACGATGAGGCTGTTGATATTCGGCGCCGCACCGCAGAGAGCACTACCCGCTTCGAAGACAGGGACGCTGGCGACGTACAACCACTTGGGCTTCAGATGGGAATACAGCTGGTCATAGAAGAGGTTGACAGCCGTCGTAGCCACGATGAAGGTGACAGCAAGCCACGCGACATCCTCGAAGGAGTCGAGCTGCAACACGATCTGAGGCTAGACGTCAGCGACGACGGTATTGTCTAGGGCAAAGAGGAAGGTTGAGGAGAGGATGACGAAGAAGATGACGTACTAGTTGATCCCGGTGACGGTACAGACGGGCTCGATGACGACTGCGTCTTTGCCTCATTCTGTGTCGGTGTTGTCTCCCGAGAGAGGGCCCTTGGTGGAGGAGGAGTCGGGCTGCTCCGCCTTCTCCTGAGGTCCTCCGGTCCGGGGCTGGGTTTCAGTCTTGGCTATCATATTGTGGAGGGTTCGCGCCTGAAAGATCCGAGTGTGAAGCCGTCGAGCGTGAGATACGGTGGTCTTCCGCATTGTTGCCCGGATCCGCGAACGTTCAGATATTCTTCCCACTCTCTCCTCCTTGGGCCGCCGTTATCTCGGGCTCATACGCCATCAAGCCGTGAGCTGAACCTGAGCCATCTAGACCAATGGCTTCCGCAATCTCGTAAATCTCCAAGCAGAGTGAGCGTGTAAACTCTCCACACAGCTGCAACATATCAAAGCCAGCTCTGGTAGTGAGCGAGCTTACCAGCTAGTCCGCCAAAGGATCGCGTCTGGCATTGAACCGCAGGCTGCAGCAAAGACTGCTCGGGGAAAACAACCCGTTTGACTTTTGCCATAGACGCCTTTGAGTTTCCGATCAATGCCGCAGGGAAGAAATCTCAGGTTACGCGGAGGCTCACGGATAGTCGGCCCGTAAAACAGCCTCTTTGAACCGCGGCCGGCGCTTACCGCAACTTCACCAGCTTTTGGCATTGACGAAGCATGCATACAAAGCCCATCATACGGGCCATGCATGAGGATGGTCCAACGTCCCGGATATGTGGGAAACCGCCCTCGCACCGCTGTCCGATTGGCCTTCTGCTGACGTGACACAATGACGGGTCGAGCAGGTGATGATCTTGATAAGCTTCCGGGAGCCCAATCTGACGGGTTGCAGGTCAGAAACGCCACAGTCGTGGATCTCGAAGATATCAAGCGCCCTTTGACGTATCATACAAAGGCTTTTTGAGGTGTTTACCTTCGTAATATACACGCTTTCTCCCATTCAGGACGCCTCCATGTCGTGGTGCAATGAAGCCTGTCAACTCGTTGAGGCTGAGATAAGCTTGCCAGCAGCCAGTCCACAGACAACGTGTCGTTGAGTCAGTCAGTGCCGCGAAATACGTGTTGCAGATCAGGTTCTCTTATGCATTTTGCCTCTCTAATGCCCTTTTAGGACTCATAATAGCTTCTCCCAGTGGGTCTGATGGCTAATAGCCTTTGTGCCATCTGTCATCCCTTCCTCCCTATACAGTAGAAGCCAATCACTCCCTTCACAAGCCTCTCCACGATGCCATTTCCCACGATTTGATCACCGGAGTTCGCAAGCCATTCCCTTACTCGTCCCCGTCCGACTTGAAGACCACGTCAACATTCTTAGCTGCCACCTGCTTGCCATCATGAATGACAGTGAAGTCCACGCTCTTTCCGGAGCAGGTCATCTCCACGTCGTAGTTGATCTTTGCGAAGACTTTGCCCATGGGGTTGGTGAAGCGAGGAAGGGACGCCAAGTTGATCTTCTTCTTCCAAGTAATGGTGCACAGCTCGTTGACGCGGTGGTCCAATCTCTCCGGAGGAGGCCACGCCTCGCTGGAATAGATCGTCCCGTTGACCTGACTAGGAACTGACTCCCAAAGGCGATAGTAAGACTTGGTAACCGGATCTGCAGAAGAGACGTCGGTTCCCTAGCATATGTGTCAGCTATGATTACGCTCCAGAAGAAGACTGTATTTCCCAACATACTCGCTCAAGAAACCACTCCATGCAGGTATCAACCTTCCATGCGAGTTCATCTTCGCACCAATATCTGTCTTCCTCTTCATGTTCCTCAGGGTCGTAGGGCATCGTGCAGCAGGTGCCGTAGCTCATCCGAGAGACTCTAGACTTGATTTCGACTGCAAGACCAGGAGCGAGGTTGCGGCGCGTCAGTCCATGAATAGTTGCACCCCGACAAATCGCAGTCCAACTGTCCTATGTTAGCGTCGGCTTGGAAGATTTGAGAATGAGACTTACGGCTTGTCTCCGTAGCCTTGAATAATCTCAATGTTGTTGCCAACTTCTTCCTTGAGGCGGCTTCGTAGGTATGGGCATCTGCCAAACCCCCCTACAAGAATGATTTGCTTTCACACATAATTTCAGTTGTTCATCATTCATCAAGGCTAGTGCTTCTTACCTTGGGCTTCGACTCCGTCTTCGTCGTGACAGCCTCGATCTGCTTCTCTACCAGTGAGATTGTCTGGTTGACGATAGGATCAAAAACTTTGAGCAGGTCCGCCTGATCAAGGATGAGGTTGCGCTTGCGCTTCATACCCCGCCGTTGAGATCCAGGAACACGACACTCAGGGGGAAGATTGATCTGCCAGTCGTCATCCTGGTTCTTGAAAGAAGTTTTGATACATTGCTCCCATTCGTCATTCAATAGCTTCCTGACCTCCTCTTCAGGAATGTTGTTCCAAGCTTGAGGAGTAACCTTGTCCTTAAGCATGTTGACAAATGCCTCATTGAGGAAGACGCCGCCACAGAGGTCGCCGTCACCCTGAACAGCCTCTCTGATGATAAAGGGATCCAAGCTCAGGATCTCGTAGGTGATGAGGTCGACGGTGCCGCCACCAGCATCACACACAACGATGTGATCTCCAACCTAGGAAGCAGCTAGTCAGTGCCACATCACTTAAGATTAAGAAAGTTTACATGCCTCCGCGGTTGGCATCTTCGACAGGTCTTTCATTGTAGCAAGAGCTGCCGCTTCGGGCTCCGAGATGAAGGACAAGCTCGTCTCTCCAGCTGGACGGGACTCCAGCAATCCAGCTTCTTCAGCAGCTCTGCGCATTCTGGCCTTGGCGTAATCCGGCCAGATTGCCGGAAGAGTTATGACGATGTGAAACTGGCACATCTTGACCATCGCATCGCCAACTGTGCTGACAATGCACTCTATGGAGTGATTCCATAAGTTCTGGAGATATCCACTGATGATCTCGACCGGCTCTTTGTTCGCGCTTCTAGCCAGTCTCCTAGCCGTAGCAATCTGGCTAGAATCTCGGACGTTCTCGGGAAGGTCACGCTCATCAACAAGCAAGAGCTTGAACCACTTCAACGGCTCCTGCTTTCCATCTCTGGGTATGGCATATCCCCAAGAAGAGTTGCCGCGTTTTCCTCGGAAAAGAATGGAAGAGGGCACTTTCCCTTTGTCGGAGTTGAGATTTATCTTGGATTCCCAGCAGCTGATGACCTCGATATTGTCGGGCTGACCGGAGTAGGCCCAGCTGACACCGGAGAAGCTTTTGAGTAGTCAGAAAATAGTCCATAAAGTTTTAGCAAGAACAAGAAGTAGTATGATGGTCTTACGTCGTGCCAAAGTCTATGCCAATGATGATGGCCTTCTCATCGTCTTCAGAAATTCGAGTCTTCACCATGGTGGGCATCACTTTCCGGCCGAAAGCTTCTGTAGATCTTTGGTCTGGATAGTCTTCGTCAGTAAAGTAAGAAATATTGTGAGATTGGGCAAAAGTGGTGTTGAGCTTGTGTGGAAGAAATATCAAAAGATTGGAAATAGAAAATGCTGACATTTCCAGACAAGGGAAAGGAAAATCAGAGAGAAAAACTTACTAATAATCCTAAGACTTAGCAAGAAAAGTGAGTCAAAGAAAGAAGAAGTTTGAAAAGTGTGCAGTGAGAGAGCGTGGTGAGGTGTTGAGTCGAAAAGGTGAAGTGTATGTTTTTCTTTTTTTTAAAACAGTGCAGCCAAGAAGAATGGGTGCACCGTACCTACCTTACCTCACTTAGCCCACAGGGCACGGAAAGAAAAGAAAAAGGAAGGCACCTGGTTTCAAGAGAAAAGGAAGGAAGCTTGGGTGGTAAGCATATCACATCACCTGAGTCCTCCCCGGCCTCACCCTTTACCTCACCTCATACAATTATTCTCTCACTGACCCAGAGTCTTTCTCATACAATAAATTCACACCCTCCAAGGAAGCTCGACTTCGCAAAGGCTCCCGAAGATTTCTCACATCGGCAAGAGATAAATCAAGTTGGTCGGCTGAATTATGGCTGAGCATACACAGGTAAGCTACCCCAAATACTCAAATTTCAGAAAATCTTCTCCCTCAAATTCTTATTTGATTTTAGGGACGCTTCATGGTCATCGAGGACAGTGAGGCAGACTCTCCCAACAACATGCCAGAAGATGAGCCCCGTGAGGGCAGGATTCCGCAACCAACGAATACCGACACCCCTCAAGAGCAGATGTCACTTTCGTTTGGGGAACGTCTAGCAGCCCAGCCCCCCCGCCGCCATCGAACTTCTCGCAAAAGCTTTTTCAGCAAGAACCTCGAGGTTATCAGATGGGAGAAAAGGAATATGAGCCGCGATGACTCGATGTCATATCATCAAGAGCACACCTTCGTCATCGTTGGCAAGGCGAGGGCCGCGCTACAAGCACAGCGCATTGAAGAGCTTACAAGTCGTCTTCGAAAATGTGAGGAATATAATCAAGAACTTGAAAAGTGCCTGGTAGGGGCAAGTGATGAAGCAGCCGACACGGAGAAGAAACTATCGTGGGCACTTGAGAGGGCCGCTGATGCTGAAGCAGAGCTGGCTCAGCGAGAGTCGGATCATCGAGATGCCATGGACAATCTCGAGAAGGCTTACCATAAGCTTTCCGGACGGGTTGAGAAACTCGAGTCCCGACTTGAAGAATGTGAGGACGCGAAATTGAAGACTCAACCTCTTGCGAACTCTAGTAAGGTCTCGGACGAATTCATCACGGCCATATGGGCGAAAATGCAGTATAACATCAACTACCTTGCCAATCACGTTCTCACCGGCTGTCCCTCAGAGGGAGACCTGAAAGACCGCAGCATCAATGACTCCTGTTTTCTCAGTTCCGACGGCATCAATGACTACATCGACCAGCTCCAAGACGGGGACATGAGGCCCTTCGTTGTGGAACACTACATTTGGAAGACTGTCATAGGACGATTCTTCGACCTCGGGGTAGACGGAAGTTACGAAAAGACTTGGGCCGGCACAATCGGAATGAGCTTCATTACCTGCTTCGAGAAGTTACTAGGTGAGAGAGTTCCCCACCCCGATGGCTATTTGGTGATCATTGTCACTGAAACCTTTAAATGGCAGCATTATGCAACCGCAGGCAACTGGACCCGACGAAGCTCCTACACGGCAAAGCTGAGATTGGAGAGATGATCAATCAGATGATTGGCGTCGACCAGGCGGAGATGCTGAGGGTGGTACAGATGGAGATGGTAGCCTTCTTCATATTTGTTCCCAATGAGTGTCCCGATTACAAAGCAAAGAACGAAAAGCTTGAGAAATACATCCTCAAGATATTCGACGATGCGGTGCAGCTCCGCGGGATCTTCATGGCTTCCAGAGCTTACTTCTACCCGAAATGGTACAAGGAGATGGCGGGTGGAGCCCGCATTCGTTTCGACGACAAGTCTATGGAAGCCGAGGGCTGGGAGAAGGAACCGCTCGATGATGGGAACATCGTGCTATGCAACATCTCGCCGGGCCTGGTGAAGGTTGGCACCGCTGATGGCAACAGCTATGACTCCGATCTACTGCTTGTCAAGGCGAGGGTTGTCTGTGACTAGCCGAGGAGGTTTCAGCATCGCATGAGGAAAAAGAGAAGCAAGGAAAATCGTGAATTTCGAGATAGAGACGTAGGGCAGTAGGCTATAGCAGACAAGACAGGGTTTTTGTCTACAGACTTCCCCAAACAAATGTCTCGAGTTGCCATGCAATCCAACATCTAAAACGACAGATCAACTCAACGAAGCTTTCCCAATCACCGCGCCCTGGTCTCTCTTCTTAATCCAACTACCATATCTGCCTATTTTTCCTCTTTCGCCATGCACAATAAGTTTCTTTCGATGGCGTATTTGATTACAAATTGATGAGAGATGGATAAGCAAGTATCAATTACAAGCAGCCACCCTTAGTGACATTTTGTCGCCGGGCGTGGGAGCTGATGCATAACAAACGCTATCAACCTCAAAGATAGAGTCTATCTTGACCAGAGGAATTCATTTCAGGCACCTATCGCATCATATTTCTGCACCTGCGAAGTTCACGGGCTGAATGAACGTGAGCGCGAATTATTCCTGAGGCTGCAATCTTTTGGCCTCGCGCTAAGCTACACAATAAACAAACTTTGGCAAAATTTGCATCGGCAAGCACAATAGCTCAGGGGTAGAGCGCTGGGCTCATAACCCAGAGGTCCCTGGATCGAAACCAGGTTGTGCTAATTCTTTTGCGTTTTTGCCATCTTTACTTCATTTCTTGCTCTTTTTCCTCGGTTTATTACGGAAATAATCTTCTTTGGGTTTTATTTCATCTGGGTTTTGGAGAAACTGCAAACTTTCAAATTCTATAAAGCTTGTACAGAGAACCATGTCCCCCAACGCTCCCCCAACGCCATCGCACATCTTCTGCCCAATGCCAGACAACCTCCATCAAAACCACACCCCCAACGGCCCGGCGCATGTCTCAAAAAGCCGGAAATCGGAACAAGCCCCGGTACTGAAGCCGCGCCACCCTGTAATAACCTCCCCGCGCCGAGTCGGTACCGGCCGAACAAGCTTACTTGAGTCTTAGTAGCTTGAGGCCAACGATGATAGGACACCGCCCCGGTCTCGCGCCATCGAATGGAGCGCTTATCTCCGCGACAATCCCCCGGAATCGAGTCTTGGTAAATGCTTTACGTAGTAAGCGCCCCATGAGTCGCGCGTCATAGACGAAGTTCCGAGCTGTTTAGCATGTTTGCCGACGGGCTTTTTCTCCTTCTTTGATGCGCCGTTGGAAGAATATGGAGTTGACAACCTCGAATTGACTTTACGCTCTGAGAATAAGGATACAGAAGGTTTAGTGGGACTTTCTGAAGGGCAAAGAGAAACAACGACTCTTGAAGATTGACAACTCAACGCCATGACTTCATCATTTCTAATCAACTAGCCCCAACGGACTCCCGCACGCTAAGAGGGTTTCGCGAACGAGCGGATAAACAATCTCTGGAGACTGTTGTCTTTGTCACTTTGTCGCATACCTTCAACTTGAAGAAAGAAAGAAGCTTAATCGGGGCGATCTCAGAGTCTCAATACAGAAGGGTCCCAATGTTGGAGAAGCGAAACTCTGTTGAACGCAGCAGAGGTGACACGGACGCCAGCAACAAGGACATGGGCTCAACGCCCGCAGGCGCAGGCGCAGGCGCAACGGCAGGGCCTGGCGAGGCGGTGGCTGCTGCTGCTGCGGAAGAAAAAGAAGCCTCCGTGCCGCAGGAAGTAATACGGAATTCAGCCGCGAACTCTGTCCGGGATGGCGGCTTTGGCGGCGACGACGACGAGAAGCGGGTATCCACGGGCGGTGGTAACGAGACGAGGTCACCGTCACCGTCGCCTTCGAATTCGGACTGTGAATCGCATCGGGATGGCGGCAAGAAGGATAGTCGCAAAGGAGTTATTGGCGCGACAGTTGGTTTTCTCACGTGGACGCCGAGAAAGTTGCGATATGATCCCGAGAATCCTCCTCAATTCACTCTCGGCCTCAACTTTCTGTTTGCAGTTGTAAGTTACCCCCAATCATACACACATGATGGATTGAGATGCTAAGCGATCCAGGCGGCAACGTTCACCGTCGCCAACCTGTACTACAACCAACCGGTTCTCAACAGAATCGCAGAGACATTCAACGTCAGCTTCGAGAGGGCATCGTCGGTCGCGACGCTGATGTAAGCCGGCTATGCAGCAGGCTTGCTCTTCATCTGCCCTCTGGGCGACATGCTGCGCCGGCGGCCATTCATCCTAGGCCTCATCTGGGTGACAGCGATGCTGGTGAGCCACCCAACACAAAGACTATTTGCGAAGTCCATCATCCTAATACCTCCAGTGGCTCGGCCTATGCCTAACAAACTCCTTCCAAGCCTTCCTAGGCCTATCATTCATTGTCGGCGCCACAACAGTAACACCGCAACTCATGCTCCCGCTCGTAGCAGACATGGCGCCCCCCGAACGCAAAGCAAGCTCCCTCTCCATAACGACATCAGGCCTCATGCTCGGCATGCTCATCGCGCGGCTGCTCTCGGGTATCGTGGCGAACTACACCTCCTGGCGCAACATCTACTGGTTCTCCTTCGGGGCGCAGAACCTGCTGCTGGTACTGCTCTTCTTCTTCGTGCCGGATTACCCCTCGACGAACCCGGACGGGCTGAATTACTTCCGCGCGCTGTGGACGATTGTGACGATGTTGTTCACGGAGCCGATACTAGTCCAAGCATGTCTGATTGGATTCTTCATCAGTTCCATCTTTACGTCCTTTTGGACGACGTTGACGTTCTTGTTGGCTTCGCCGCCGTATGAGTACCCATCCATCACGATCGGCCTGTTCTCGCTGATCGGTATCGCGGCGATCTGCGGTGGGCCGGTGTATGGACGATTGATTATGGACCGATACGTGCCGTGGCTGTCTTCTGTGCTCGGGCAGACGGTCATTCTCATCGGGTGTATCATTGGTGCTTTTACGGGTACTTTTACCGTTGCCGGCCCTGTGATCCAGGCGATTTGCATCGATATGGGTATTCAGACTGCGCAGACGGCCAACCGGACTGCGATTTACACTATCAACCCCAAGGCGAGGAACAGGGTGAACACGGCGTACATGGTGTGCGTGTTTTGCGGCCAGTTGACGGGTACGGCGGTGGGGAATAGATTATACGCGCAGGGCGGATGGAGGTACAGCGCGGGCACTTCAAGTATGTATTCTCGTCAGAGTCTCGTCATTGCTGCGGTATGCTAATGGTGTACAGTTGGATTTATCGGGTTGTCATTGATCATCACCATGCTCAAAGGCCCACGAGAGAAGAGCTGGATCGGATGGAGGGGCGGATTCAAGCTGCGCAAAGACGCGCCGAAACATCAGCCGGCCTCACCCGAAGAATCACAGGGGCCGGTACAGGAGCCGGTGGAGAAAAGGACGGATATCGGCGCCGGTGGTGAGGGAAATCGGCGGTGACAGGGTCCGATGGGTGGAGGAACTGGCCGGGGGATGAAGCTATTAGGGTGGTTGGGTCGTGCCGACCTGCCGTTCCATGGTTTCGGGAGACGCTCATCAACTGTTCTAGATTAGCCAAAGGGAATCTTGGTCAAACGAAACTCTATTTGTTTACTCGATGATTTTGAAACTGAGATGAATGAGGTTACTTTGAAGTTGAAGGAGAAATGACGCAGCTGTTTGGTTTGGAGTAACAACCGGCGCAAGTCTTCAGGCCAGAAAATATTACCCGGCAGCCACTACAGCGAGACCCCGGGCAGCAGACCCGCCAAGGACGCCCGCCAAGACCCATAATGAGGCCGTCTGGGGAATTGAGTGGTGGCTGAGGCGAGGCAAACTTTAGCGAGAAATGTCACTGGACGGAGGGCAAATGCACCACATGCTCCAGGGAGGGGCGGCCGTTGAAGGGTCGCTCCGGGTGCTGTAACCCGTTGCCTGTGGCCTACCTTACCTTAAAGCTCAACATCAGCGGCACAGCACCCCCGCGATTGAGGCCCACCAAAATCACCAACCACCCGCCTGCGACCAACCGCCAAGATCGGCAAGGTAACCTGGCCGGCGGAAGGAGTGAGAAAAAAAAACATGTTCCTCATCAATCAGTGAGAGAAAGACCGGGGGGGGGGGGGGGTTGAGGCGGATGATTATCTCACTCACTTCCCTTTTCACTTTCATTCTCACCGACTCTCACCTCATTCACCTACAGAATAAGCCTCACTCACCATCAATTAAAGGCTCGCTCACCAATTGACGACAACTTACTCACGAACAACGACCTGGCCATGTCAATCACCACCCGGCTCACCACCATCCCCCAAACGCCCTGATGGCCCGCTACCAAGGCCTCGACTCGTCCGACCTGTTCCGCTTCGACACCCTCGCCTTGCGCGACGACATCCTCGTCTCGGACGACAACGCCGTCTCCAAGGTCGAGTACGATGAGTACGTCGTCTTCAAGAAGGACAATGGCATCCCCTCGGGCGCCAAGACGGGGCTAGAGGACGACGAGGATATCAGTTTCCAAATGCAGCACAAGGACGAGGTGCCGGGTCACCACACGCTTAATCTAGCCTTTCGTCATGGGTACTCTGTTGACTATAATGTGAGCTTTATCTAATATGACCCAATCGAGACTACCATACAAGAAACTAACGCCTTGGTAGGGAGTGTTCACACAAGAGCCGGCACGGCACCCAGAGTTGGTTCTAGATGGACGGGTTCGACGAGTGTGAGTCCACCCACCTTATTGAGTACTTCATCTCAGACAGAGACTAACATCAACAGCATCTGCTTCCGCCGCAACAAATCCTTTGACCGCCGAGAAGACGGCATCACCATGACCCCAAGAGACCTCGACGCAATGGATCTTCACCCCGCCACCCTCCAATACTCCCGCCGCGTCACAAACGAATCCCGCTTCTGGTCCCTCGACCGCTCCAAACTGAGTGAGTATTCACTCTGACAACCATCAGCCTCACTCACAGGAACCAAAAATGACTAACACACTGCCAGGCCTCATTCTCTCCTTCTCCAAAAACCCAAGAACCCCCTACGACTTCATGTCCCTCACCTACGACGTCCGCAACCGCACCTCCTCCGTCCTCGTCCGCCAATCCTACCACCCGCGCCAGCACTCCCTCGAGAACCTAGACGAGTACGACCAGCGCCTCGAGGCCTGCCGCGCCCACTGGGCCCACCCCTTCATCACCCCCGTCGTCCTCCTCCAAGTCCAGTTCATGCGCACCGAAGAGGCCGTCATGGAGAACATCAACCACGTCAAAGCCCTCGAGTGGCAGGTCAGCTCCATCGCCGGCTTCGAGGCCTTTGAAATGGAGCGCGAGAAGCGCTCAAAGCTCATGCGCAGACTCACGTTCGCCTCGTCCACGGCCGCGGCCTCGCATAACGAGAAAACGCCACAGATTGCCGGGCCGATGAGCATGGCGAACCTGATGAAGAGCGCGCATGACGTGCTCAAAGAGTCGATTAAGCTGCTAGACACCGTGCGTTGGATGGAGAGGGTGGTCAAGCTGATGCTGCAGGCCGGCGACGAGCTCGCGGAGCGCATGTCGACGGGGGAACTCAAGATCCGTCTCGACGATTTCCACGTACGACAGACGGACGCCGATCAGAGGGATGAACAGGACCAGCAAGTGCAGCCCGACGAGCCGCCTACGGGTCCGCCGTCGAGGTCGTCTGCGAGTACGAGGAGGCGGTCGCTGCCCAAGGCGCCGGATCCGCTGGCTGATCCGCTGGGGAACCATTGGCATGAGATACGGCAGTATCTTGAGGGGTTGCAGCGGATGTGTATGGGTCTCGAGACGGATCGACGCATGTCGGAGGCCCGGTGCCGCGCCCAGATTGATATTGTAAGTGACACTGGATTACATCCTCACCGTGTCCCCCAAAGCTAACACTACCCAGATCTACAGTAAAATGGCCCAAGAAGACAACGTCCTCAACGCCCGCATGGCCGTCGCCTCCTCCCGCGACTCCTCCTCAATGAAAGCCCTCGCCGTAATAACAGCAGTCTTCCTCCCCGGCGAGTTCCTCGGCACCCTCTTCGGCATGTCCATGTTCGACTGGCAAGCCTCGGGCGAAGACGCAGACAGCAGCGACAACGGAGGCGGCACCTCCACGAACCCGAAAGATCCCATCCCCGTGCTGAGCCACCTCTTTTGGGTCTACTGGGCCACCGTCATCCCTCTGACGATCGGTATCCTCGTCGCCTGGCGCGCGTGGTGGGTGAGCCAGGACCGGTATTTCCGACGGCACCTGTCGAGGGAGTTGTCGGAGGAGCGGTACTGGACTGCTGATGGGAAGCCGAGGGATTTGGAGCATTCTTTCTGGTGGGATTTCTTTTATCTGTCTGTGAGGCGGGATGAGCGGCCCGCTCCGTCCGCGAGCGATCTGTATGGGAGTAATACGCTTGAGCTGTCGCCGAGTATGTCGCAGGATAAGGACGATATGAGGTCACCGCGAGGGGATATGACTGTGCGGAGAGGGCAGATCTCGTTTTTGAGGTCGCAGAGTATCCGGCAGCGGAATACTGTTGCTGTGTAGTGTGTGGTTTGAGTATGGTGTACGCCTAGTTATGATCTTCGATGATGGGCGGCTTGCTTGCTTTTTTTGCATATCTACTTGGGTGGTCGGTCTTCTTGGTAATGGGTAGTCGGAAGAGTGTATATACGCGTCATGGTAGGTGATTTGGCTGGAGATACGCTGGCCAAAGTAAGTATATAGATGAGATCAATAACCACGATTCATGACAACAAAGAGGTTGATGATGACAATGCTAATATTCGGGTTATCTGTCGGGCGTCTAGCGAAGCAGGGCAGCTATTGTTCAATGAAGCTTTCACAAGTCTCGACGTTCATCGGCAAAGTAAGGTAAGATGGTAGCTAGATAGCTGAATGGCAGCCTCATAACTAACGCCAGTCAGCCGCGGCAGCCATACCGGAGTGAAAGACAGACAAACATCACCGGGAACAGACAAGTGCGATTGATTCATTGCTGCATTGCGGAGATATCTAGACTAAGGTACTCGTCCCCTGACGGTATAACCATGCCATGTCCTCATCTCCCCCCAAAATATGCAGTCCTGATGAAAGTCAAGGTGCCTTCCGAAATCCCAATCCATGTTGAGCTGTGAGAAATGTTGTTGAATAGAAAGCTAGACCTAGACAAGAGTCCAAGTCACACCACCGACGCGACCGCGGCCAAGGTCACCCAGAAGAGCCTTGAAGACAGCAGGGCTGACGTCAATGTCGTTGACGGCACATCCCATGCACTTGTCAGTCACCTTGACGTCGACGGACTTGCCCTCGGCTTGAATGCGGACGGTCTTGCCACAGAGCGGGTTGCCGTTGGACTGGGAGCCCATCTTGATATGAGAGAGGGCAACAATCATGGAGTTGTCGTTGTCAGTCCAGCCACAGGCGCCAAGACCAGGGCTGAAGAAGGTGATGTCGCCCTGGAAGGGGCCGGGGCTGAGGTCCTGACGAGCCATGACGGCGGGGGGCCTGGAACAAGCCAGTGTTAGCATCTGCGAGAGGATGGTGGAAGAGGAAGAAGAAGAAGGAAGGAGGGTCAACTGACTCGACATCCTTGTAGACACGGCAGACCGTGAAAGAAGTGAGGGGGTTGACAGCGCGGCCCTTCTTGCCCAGGCGGGTAGAGCAACCAATGTGAGTAGCCTTGTCAGAGAGGAGCTGCTCTGTAGGAAAAGGTCAGACGAACTCGAGGAAAGTCAGTAGACGAGGCGAAGACATACCAGTGGTGCTGAGGGTCTCGTAGTAGTCCTCGACAGTGGTCTGAAAATTGTTCATGTCCTTGAAGCTAAGCCAGAGCTTGACAGCCGAGACCAGAGGGTTGGTGACTTGCACGCTGTCCTCAGACAGAGAGCTGAAGTAGGCGACGACCTCGCCAGCACCATCACGCTGATGAGCAGGAGCACGGCCAATGAAGCCCTGTTTGGCGAGCAGAAGGGCCCAGGTGTCGGCGTCCTCCTTGAGGTTGTTGTCCCAAAGGATGGGAGGGGCACCTGCCTCGGAACGAGCAGTGTTGATCATGGAGAGCGCGCGGTTCTCGTCACCACTGGCAATTGTGGTAGAGGCATGGACCATGCCGACGGCAGTGAGGCCGACTGCAATGCCAGTAACGACAGTCTTGATGCTGATCATGTTGACTGTTGTGTGTAGTGTGTGTGGGAAGTTGGAAAGTGAAGTGTGTGTGAAGTGAAGTGAATGAGAAGCCTGAAAGAGACAGTGTTGATGGAAAAGTTGAAGTGCAAAATAAAGACGCAGTCTTTGAAGTTGGGTATCAACGAAGAAGAGAGATTGAAGTGTGCGTGTGTGTGGGAGGAAGAAGAAGAGAGGGTGGTGGGTGGGAGAGAAGGCGGGTTTATATAAAGGCTCAGGAGGGAGGGCTCAATAGGCAGAGGAAGGAGCCCAAAATCATGTACCTTCCGTTGAATAAGTTTCTCGTCAAGACGTGAATTCCAAGGCGTTCTAGCGGCAATAGCAATTCGGAAGGAATCAAGTCGGTGTCAGGATCGTAGCTATACTTTCAATTGGCCTATCCTTCCCATCCAGAGCAATCCTGATGGCAATAGGTCATGGTGGCAGATAGAGATTCCGAGATTATCACGATGGTGGTGATACCAGAGGACTTGAACGCAGGAGCCAGAGCCTTTCAGGGGAAACTGGCACATCTTCGTTGGAGCACACTTGGGGAACTGGGTGGGCGACACAACATGGAGAGACCAATGATGTAGAGCTGACCTGACAGTAAATTAATCTAGATGAAGCAAAATGACAAGCCATCTCGGAATCTTCCCTGAAGCACGACAGCTGAAAATGAGAGGCCAGACCAGAGGGGAGGAGAGACGTGATCTCTCGACTGCTCTACCTAAGCTGCAAGAGCGTCCCTTCCTCCCTTGACAACTCCTGAAATATCATGGAAGTAAGAGCACGTGATTCGAATCAATTGGAATCTATCTGGGAAGAGTGGAAACCCAGTGAGGCCAAGCTTTGCGGGCAGGAGCATGGTTGCACTGCGTATGCACTCAAAGTGATCCCCAGATGTGGTCAGCAACAAAGACCCCCCGCACAAACGTGCAGCTTTTCATGCCTGTGCAACATATCAATTATACAGCAGTCCTAGGAGATTTCAGACTGATATTTTGTGAGAGCTGCCATGAGCTGTGGTGATAGGCCCTTGCCTTAGGCGAGGTGGCTTACATCCCCAGGCGCTCCCTACATACACAACACCTCCCAACCGCCGACTCTTTTTGGCTCTTGTAAAACATCTCCCAGGCGATGTTCAATGATAATATCTCGCGATTGCAAAGTCGAATCACAACTTTTTCGCACGCATTGTTGATGTGGCCTCTTCATCCTGCCTGTACGCTCCTTCTTCCTCGAGCTACGTGGGCCATGCTCACAGTGTAGCCCACAACCGCACGGCCCTCCCTTTGTTGCCTAGAGGGAACCGCCTCATCCTGAGCATGAAGGAACGGTTGCGGAAGGGACAGTCTAGTTCCAACAGTTGGAAGGAAGGACCAACGCTATGCGAGGGGGAGGGGGGGGGGGGTTAGACGGCTCAAGCGTGGTGGTCCAAGGAGTTTAGTGGCCACGTTGAGCTACCCTCAACTCCTCACATGTGAGAGTACTTGAAACGGCGTGTTTCTTTTCGTTCATCTAGATAGCAGCAAACTGTGTGGTACCATGTATGGCGGCCTATCTAAACTGTTTGCTTGTGGCAGCGGAATTTCAAGGCGGCGTCCAACTCTCTGGAGAGACAGGCATCGCTAGGACGTGGCATTTGGGTACGTCCGTCTTCATGTGCTCTCCAACATATCTATCAACCAATTAAGAAGCGCTCTACTGACTTACAGGTGGTATTCATCCCCGACTTCCGATAATTTTTAAAGAATATCTATGATCCTATCCCAAACATCCTCGTCAAGCTCTGGGATTCTGACGACATTCCGCTCAAACCAACTGCGTTCAAACTCCTGCCTATTGCCTTCCATCTCTCGATATATGGGCAACTCCCAATCCTCGGGCATGATTTTCCTTCCATAATCGTTTTCTTCCAGCTCGACGTCCATAGCTTGATTCGTCTGTTGGACCTTACTCCAGAACGGCAGGTGCTTTTCGAGGCCAAGGGCACCCAGCAACGCAGCAAGCTTCTCACCAGCACTTCCTCGCTCCTTGGCGAGGATAGAAAGGGTCTCGAAGTACTCCTTCGTTGTCGCGGCGTCCCCTCTTTCCACAATCCTGAGAAGTAGCTTGGTCCAGTGCGTAATCAACACCGGATCGAGCGTGCCCTCGAGCATTCTGAACTCGATGGTTCCCTTCGCTCGCGGGTCATTGCTCGGCTTCGTAAAATCCCACTTGAGCGCGCCAAAGGCGGTACCGCCCTTGCACCCACGGAACGGGGCGAGCTGGGCTAGAAGGGCGGCGAGATCATCCGTAGCCCAGAGCTTGGCTAGCTGATCGCGTAGCTTTCGGGGCAAGTCGTTCATGGGTACATTGGACTCTAGATCCAAGAGCACATTGGCCATGCCTACCTGGAGGGGGTTACTTCTCGACTTATCACCTGCGTCCTCGAATACAAACGCTGCGGTGTAGTCGGGCAAATCCTCGGCCTTTGCGACAGCCGCTTCGAGATGTAGAGGCTCCGTCATAGGATTCCACTGCCTCGACGGATGGACGAGGGTGTATAGAATCGGATCAGCAATCATAATCAGGGTGGCGATACGCTTCAAACTGCGCAGTGAAAAGCCTCGAACGCTACCTACGTGAACGTGGAGGCCACAACTGATGTCCAGCATCGGCCGAAGCCCGCCGCGGAGAATCCTCAACACGTCGACAATCTTGCCGAAATCTTTGGGCGAATCACGCAAGATGGGACTGGACATTTCTATCCCGATGTGTCCGGCATACCCCTTTTCACCGGAAGCCCAGTCTGAAAGGCTCGGATCTCTCTCAATGTACCAGCACTGGAACATCGCGAGGACATCTTCGAAGAAGTGGAGGTGGCAGCCCGCTGCGTCTGCAACGGACTGTATCCCGGGGATCGAGACCTCACCCTCGAATTTATCTTGGAGGTCAAAGACGGTGTCGAACGTGGCGCCAAAGTGGCCGGCGTCGCAGAGCAGCCTCTCTAAATATTTCGCTGATTCATCGTGGGCCTGGCCGCGCTCGTCTTTGGGCTGAGTGCCGAGGTATTTATCCATCAGGTCAGCCAGCTCATCGCGCTCGTCCTGTGTAGTGGGCTTGCTCGGACTTGGGATGACATACGGGGTGAAGTGGTCGTAGACCCAGCGCTGGTCTTTTATGCCTTTGCCAGTATACTTGGTGTTGGTGAAAGGAACGAGGAACTCGAGCTCGATGCCAAAGGTGTACGGGGACAAGTCTTTTTCGTCTTCGAGGTTGATGGCGGGTTTGCGAAGGCGGTGGCTGTCGAGTTCCGGAACGAATGGGTTCCGGCCCAGAGGTTCGTAATATGCTGCTTGTGCGTGGAGGTTATTATCTTCAAGAAATTGAGTCGTCGTGTACGAACCAGAGAAGCCAAACGTAGAGATGGGTAGCTTCAGCTGTCCAACCACACGTTCTACTTGATCCTCAGTTTCGTTCAGGCAAAAGTTGATGATGCCGTGACATACCTTGATCCAGTTCTCGATGGCGGCAGAGTCCAATGTCCCAGCGTGCTGAGAAAAACCTATGGTTCTCTTCGTAGGGTCTTTGTCAAGGAGTCTGGAAAAGTCGTGGGCGCCAGGGAAGATGCCTGCTTGACCTTCCCAGTCCCTGATGTGGATTTCGGTGCCACTAATGATATCATTGAAGCTTTCGGCGGTATTGACGCGGACGATAGCTTCGTTTTCAATGTCTAGCCCGCGGATAGATGGTGATTCGAGCATGTTGACCTTGTTAGCAGTTGGTAAACCACGGGTGAAGAAGGCCTCGGTGGGCTCACCGCGCCATTCGGCATCAGAAAGGAAGGCGTGCAGATCGGTGCTGAACATACGTGCAAACTCAAGACCAGGAGCAACTAGTGAGCCTGGCCCACAGTATGGCGCATGTAGCTCATTCAGGCAAGGTGAGGCGAACCATAGAAAGTTGAGGATACGACGGACTTCTGGGAGGGTGAAGTCTTCATCCTTGGGCTTGACATCAACGCGGAGGCGCGGAATCTCGTTCAAGGCGATGGTGAGGTTCCTCGAGACCTTGAGAGCGGAACAAATTGAAATGATTATGGCCGAAGTCTGCGGGATCATAGGCATTAGCGGAGAACGAATACGGGCGAGGTGCCATCTGGGGGACCCAAGTATGTTGAGCTCTTGCTCGTTCAACGAGACATTCCAAACACCTGGATCAGGGTCCTGATGGTTTCCAGCACCATCTGTGGTCCCGATTGATGTAGGTAGATCTATCTGGTGGAGACCGTTGGCAATGATTCGGGCTAGATCTTGTCGTTCTTCTTCGATCACACTTTCGTAGATTATACGGTCCACGACGCTGGCGTTTGGAGACCGACATGCTGCCAGTGACGATCCCTCCTTATCGGGACGTTGAACGAGGAATTGAAGCACAAAGCTGATCTTCAACTGTCGGTTGCCACTGGATCGCTGGAGCCTGTCCATTTTCTTCAGTTCCCTGGTTTTCTTGTTGTAAGTTTGTTGTTTAGGGATACTCTCGAGTTTTGGTTGTCGTGTTGTGATCTTGTTTGTTTGCTGTTGTCCAGAAATCTTTGGTTATCTACATCTATCATGAAAAATGTTGTTTTTATGAGGACTTGTCTGTAATATTTATCGAACACCATGATGTAGTTTCCAGCACTCCCAATTCTTGGTGCTCAGGTTCCAGCGAATCGCAACAATTGGACTGTGTCGCCTTGTGATAATTGCACAAAGACATCGTTCCATTGGACAAAGTACAATTGGTTTGTTAAAGAACTGACAAAGACATATTGAAAGTGCTCCATTTCGAGAACAGCTGCCCTATGATACAATTCCTTGTCGTTGAGTAACCGTTGACCTCGGTCAATTCGGTGTAGCATTTCGGAGAGTTCGGTGAGACTATCGGTACCTGTGTGGGGCCTTTCGCGCTAAGCCCTTTTGGAGCTGGACCTGGGTCGGGAAACGCCGACCTGATTTTTCTGACGCGCCCTGCTG